CGGCCAGCCTGCCTGCGTCGTGCTCCTCGGCTCCTCGGCCTCATGACCCGAGACACGCCTGCGCGGCCAACCCGCCTGCGTCGTGCTCCTCGGCTCCTTCGCTCAATGACCTAAGACACACCTGCGCGGCCAGCCCACCTGCGTCGTGCTCCTCGGTCCTCGGCCCCATGACCCGAGACCACGCCTGCACGGTCAGCCCGCTTGCGTCGTGCTTCTCGGCCCCACGATGGGCGTCACGCCTGCGCAGTCTGCCCGCCTACGTCGTGCTATTCGGTCGCATGATGCCTGAGACACACCTGCGTGGCCAGCCCGCCTGCGTTGTGCTCCTCGGCTCCTCGGCCCCATGACCTGCGCGGTCAGCCCTCTGCGTCGTGCTCCTCGGCCCCATGACCGCGTCTGCGCGGCCAGCCCACCTGAAAGCTGAACCCATGCCTCTGACTCCCGTTGCAACGACCGACGCATAGCTTCTTTTCGGGGGGGAATATGATGAGGATAGTAATTATGATAGGACTCGGCTGACGTCAGATGACGCCTCACGCAACAACACCTGGTCAATGCAGACCGGAACGCCGACCGAGGCGCATTAACATCCTGTCAAAGCTCAATTCTTCACGCCACGCCAACACAAAGTCAGACGCTACCAGCCTGCCCCCTGCAAGCGGGCAGCTCAGGAAGCAGTAAGCTTCCCTATAAATACCCTCTCGTTCATCAGAAAGAGAATAGGAGAGACAGACACACAAAAATACTTCTTCATCTGAAACCCTCTCCACATCTGCCCATCATGTTGCGGTAGAGGGAAGCAGTTGCAGATGGAAGCTGTAAAAACTGCAATCATTCTTGTTGCCGCATGAAGGCAGCGATGGTCGTAGCGAGAGGTGACTGCTTGTTGTTGCTTTGGATTAATGTTGCCGAGGTGCGTCGAGGTAGAGGAAATGACAGGTGGCTGCCAGCTCAGGTAGGAGAACACTGTGAAATAGGGTAAGCAGTGTTAGCATCGAGCACCTCGACGAGGTTGTGCAGCAAGGATGGCGGCAGCAGCATTTCTCACTTGAGTGAGATGTGGGAACGAGGAGGAGAGGTCGCTGGCCGGGGAGCAGTTGCGAGGACGGCGACCACCACGATAGTGTAGGCGAGGTTCTTATGAGGGCAAGAGGTGGCTGAGCAGTCTCCGACTCCGGAATAGGAAGTAGCAGCGCCGGAGGAGAGGTAAGCAACATCACTGCCTTTTTCAACTGAACAGAAAAGAGGAGCAGTAGAAGGCTTCGGTAGAGCTACCTACATCCGCAAGGAAGAAGGCTCTGATACCATGTAAAGAATTAAACGAATAAGATTGAAAGATAGAAATTGTAGAAGAAATTATGAAATATATGAGATGTAATTACCTAGTTCATTTAGATAGTGAACTCTCGATAGCTATTTATACACATTCAGCAGGGAGGTTATACACATTCAGTAGGAAGAATTTTTCTCTACACTTAGTAGAGAATCGTCTTTTATGGATTGGACGACGAGGGAACGTTTATAAGATGCATCAGATCATAAATGATGTGATCCTCCTGGTCACTCAAAGTATATATATATATATATATATATATATATATATATATATATATATATATATATATATATATATATAGATTTTTCAAATTCAAATGAAGACATAAAATATTCCATTTTGATTTGATGGTGACATGATAATTAAATAATAAAATTAATTTTTAATTTGGAATTGGTGCATTTCCTTATGTTCAGATAGGAAAAGATATCAGTGGTAGACTTACAATGCTTGACCAACCTAATTCAGTCTTAATCTGATTTATAGTGTGAGCCTTTGAATCCGTTTGATATATGTCCGATATGAAATTGATTTATATTAAGATCGATATCGGGTGGGACTCTCTGTATGATCCTTCTATGCTCAAGGCAAGATCGTATGTCACGTTTCGATTGGAGATAAATATTTTTTCTATCAAAACTAAAGTTATTAATAATATATTCTATTCCTACAATAAATTAGTTAGTGTTGAAAGGATTTTTTTTGTTTTTCTTAAGCTACGCACTATGTTTTCACATCATTCGTTGGAACGGAAAGTAAGAAACTACCCTCTCAAACAAAAAGTCTTAATTCTATACATGAAAGGCACTATGTCCCTAAGCCAATGGAGAAATGAAAATGACATAAGATTGAAATATGAACAGGGAGTGGTAGGAAATTGGAAGGATGAGTTCTCCTGCTCATCGGCTGTCATGTTCATCAGCATGGACATCAAAGATACTTAGTGGAACAAGGATGAGTGATGCCCTACTTTCCATAGTCTAATCATGCCGTATAGCGTTTGCTTCCCCTCAAACTACGGTACCTTTGCGTCCGTCTCATAAGGTGGATCAGAGTGGATACGTATGAGCATCATCGAATCGTGATACTCGTGAGGGTTCGAATGGAAAATTAGTGGTGGAGGACGAGATCGAGGTCCCCGACAAAGATTTAAATGGTCGCCATCTGTGTCGGCCGGAGGAGATCACAGCGATCTAAAGCAGCCTTCGTCGGCCACGACTTTTGGAGCGCGACACGTACGCCGGCGCACGAAGCCTGCATGCTCCCCTCTCTTCCCAGCTGCACCCATGCCGTGATCGCTCCGCTCCTCCTTTGAACCTCCAAACCCGCTTCTTCCCTCCCAGGTTTCACCTGCTGCACGCCTCCTTTACGCTGGGATCCAAAAGCACTCGAAGCAAGTGCTCCTCCAACAGCATGCATGCATGCATGGACGTCGGGGGAACCAAAGGCTGCACGAAAAAGTACATAGCAGTGTTTCAAGTACAGTCTCGGAGACAAGACAAGATCCAGTCCTTTGATCTTATAATACAGCGATCTATTACTATCATTTTTATGGAAGAAGAAGAGAGACAATGTCACGTCCTTGTGTCATTTGCCAGCTTCCCAATGTACGGGGGTTGCAGACGAGAAGACAAACCATTAGGTTTCTTATCTTACATGAAACCCACTTCTTCTTCAGCCTGGCTTCTGAGTTGTTCCAGGACTGAAGTCAAAGCCTCGATCGACATCTCCACACATTGACAACTCCAACGTTTGTTCCACGATTTTTGCACCTTCATCTCGGAATTCAACATACTAACAGTGCGTGGTCACACTCTCACCAGATGAAAGCTTTGTTTTAGTGGTTTGAACTCTCCAGCGATTGTGGGTTTGACTTTGCTGTTGCATGCAAATCTAATGCACAGCAAAACTAAGCAGAAGACCACCGAAGAACCATCTTTCTTCCATGTTCCCATACGAACTTGCAGCTTGTCAACCTGCATCTTTCGGTGGAATGAGTACTTGTGATGCAGCTCAACGTAGGCATTTAATTTCCAGAAACAACAATGGCACTGGCATCAAAAAATCAATCTTGATATTAATAGGTACATCACCAAGCATTATTAGTCTAAGATGCTTGTGATTCACATGGTGTTGGATGTGGCTAAAGGAGTGGGAAACCGAAGAAGGTATAGAACGACATTAGTCCAAGATGAATCTGATGCGTATGTGTTGGAAACTAATCGTCATTCGTTTGACTTGTCATCAACATGAAGAATGGAAATAGGTAATGCAATTTGGCCTTCTCCACTCCACACCCTTATATTTAGACGCCCAATGCTCGTCCTCTTCTTATTGCTTCGCTTGCTCAGTGTTCCAACAAAAGTCTGAGATGTATTTGTTTGGAGTGAGGGAGCCAATGAGATAGCGAGCGGGCCGTGCGTGTGCAGAGCCTCGTAAACCCTTACCCCTTCTCCTCCTCCTCCTCCTCCTCCTCCTCCTTGTCCTTATAATACAAGCACGATCGCCATGTGTAAGCCTGCTGCACCAAGCCAATGCGACCACCACGATGACCGCCATGGCCTCCTCACTGTCCCCTTCCTCGTGCAGAAGCCCCCCTTGAAGAGCCCAGCGGAGGTGGTAGCACTGCCGCCGGTCCTAACGCTGAGGCCTCTCGGCTCAGCATCCTTGGCCTTTGTTGAAGCCAAGTCCATCCTGAGCCTCGCGCTACCCATAGCCTTCACCGGCCTGCTGCTTTACTGTCGTTCCTTGATCTCCATGCTCTTCCTCGGCCGGCTCGGCGACTTCGCCATTGCCGGTGGCTCCCTGGCCATCGGGTTCGCCAACATTACCGGCTACTCCGTCCTCTCCGGCCTCGCCATGGGCATGGAGCCCATCTGCGGCCAGGCCTTCGGCGCGCGCCGCTCCCACCTCCTCGGGCCGGCCCTTCACCGTACCGTTCTCCTCCTCCTCTCCGCCTCCGTCCCCATCGCCCTCCTATGGTACTACATCCGCTCTCTCCTCCTCCTCGTCTGCCAGGACATGGCTCTCGTCGCCGCCGCCAGCTCCTACCTCCGTGCCTGCCTTCCTGACCTCATCCTCCAGTCTTTTCTTCACCCTCTCCGCATTTATCTCAGAGCTCAGTCCATCACGCTCCCGCTGACCATGTCAGCCGGGCTAGCCGTCGTCCTCCACCTGCCCATCAACTACCTCTTGGTATCTGTTCTCCGCCTCGGCATCGGCGGCGTCGCCTTGGCCTCCGTTTGGTTTCACTTCAACGTCGTTCTCTTCCTCCTTGGCTACATATATTTCTCCGATCTCCGCCGGACCACGGGAGGACTAAGCTTCAGCTCCGAGTGCTTCAAAGGATGGAGGCCGCTTCTAAACGTCGCTGTCCCCAGCTGCATCTCGGTGTGCTTGGAGTGGTGGTGGTACGAGATCATGATCATCTTGTGCGGTCTCCTCGTCAACCCAGCGGCCACCGTCGCTTCCATGGGTATTCTGATACAGACCACCTCACTCATCTACATTTTCCCGACCTCGCTCAGCTTTGCCGTGTCGACTCGGGTCGGCAACGAGCTCGGCGAGAACCGGCCCGACCGAGCTCGTCGAGCTACCACCGTCGGACTGTCATGCAGCGTCGCGCTCGGCCTCGCCGCGTTCGGGTTCGCCGTCTCGGTGCGCCACGTATGGGCCAGGATGTTCGCCCGTGACTCCGCCATCTTCGAGCTCACCGCGTCGGCGTTACCGGTCCTGGGCCTGTGCGAGCTCGGGAACTGCCCGCAGACCACCGGGTGCGGGGTCCTGAGAGGAAGCGCGCGTCCCAAGCTCGGCGCCAACATAAACCTGGCCTCCTTCTACGTCGTCGGCATGCCGGTGGCGGTCGGGCTGGCCTTCTGGACGCCGCTCGACTTCAAGGGTCTGTGGCTGGGGTTGCTGTCGGCGCAGGCCACCTGCGTCGTGCTCATGCTCGTCGCCATCCACAGAACCGACTGGGACACGCAGGCCGAGCGGGCGCAGCAGCTCACTGGGGGACAGGAAGCCAACAAAAATGGATCGCCAAAGATCGAGCAACCAGTTCCTCATTATGAAGTATAATTCTTCCTCCTCCTTTCTCGGATTCTGGCTTCTTTAACCACGAATATGTATGTCTACAGCAACAAGGAATCGAACATGTTCTCAAATCATTTCTTTCCGGTTGCAATATACTGTATCTTATCCTTATACATTACAAGATATGAAGTGCATCCTTATACATTAGATGAAACCGAACTCAAGATTTCATGTGATTTGGTGCTAAAAGAACACACACTTATTTCTCTCTCTCAGTCTCTCCCCCCTCCTTATATCACTGCTTGCATGCCTCAGTTTTTATTCTTCTTTTTTCTGAAAAGAAAAATATAATGTTGCTTCAGAAAAATAAATGACAGAAGATGCCATTAGCACCAAAAAAAATAAATGATAATAAATCATCACATTTACAGCTCAGATGATGCCACAAGCAACAGCACCTGGTCAATGCAGACTGGAACGTCGACCGAGGCGCATTAACATCCTGCCAAAGCTCAATTCTTCATGCCACGCCAACACAGCCAGACGCTACCGGCTTGCCCCCTGCAAGCGGGCAACTCAGGAAACAGTATGCTTCCCTATAAATACCCTCTCGTTCATTAGAAAGACGGGGGGAGACAGACACATAAAAACACATCTTCATCTGAAACCCCCTCCACATTTGCTAATTTGATCGTCGGAGGGGTCGGGCCGAGCACCTCGGCTCGACCTTTGTGTAGGTGCAAAGCCAAGGTCCCCTCTGGATGAGCAGGCGAGGAGCTCCTGCCCGGAGGAGACGGCTACACCGTTCCGATCGAACACCGCACCCGACCGCCTCAGCGGGCTCGAGGAACGCCCCAGGGAGATCCCCGTCGTCCGGACCCGAACCGAGCCGCGTCGACCTCGAGGCCACGACTCAAAGTTGTTTCCCACAACAGATTGGCGCTAGAAGGAGGGCCCGGAATGTCGGGTGACTGCTCGCCTGAGCCGTGTCCCTCGGCCGTAGACTGCCCGAGTTCTGCCTCAGGACGGCCTGTCCGCTTGTGTCATGCTCCTCGGCCGCATGTTGCCCGAGACCACACCTGTGCGGCCAGCCCGCCTACGTCGTGCTCCTCAGCTCCATGCTCCCTGAGACACACCTGCGCGGCCAGCCCGCCTGCGTCGTGCTCCTCAGCTCCTCGGCCCCACCTGCGCGGCTAGCCCGCCTGCGCCATGCTCCTCGGCTCCTCGGCCCCACCTGCGCGGCCAGCCCGCCTATGCCGTACTCCTCGGCTCCTCGGCCCCATGCGCGCGGGAAGCCCGCCTGCTTCGTGCTCCTCGGCTCCTCAGCTCCTCGGCCCCATGCGTGCGGCCAGCTTGCGTCGTGCTCCTCGGCCCCATGTGCGCGGCCAGCCCGCCTGCGTCGTGCTCCTCGGCTCCTCGGCCCCATGATTCCCGAGACACACCTTCACAGCCAGCCCGCCTGTGTCGTCCTCCTCGGCTCCATGCTCCCCAAGGTCACACCATGCGTCGGCCTGCCCTCTTAAGTGTGCTCGTCGGCCGCACGCCACCTGGGTCACCGCTGCACATCCGACCCTTCTTATTTGCTAAACCCCACGATTCCCACACCTTCGGCAAGGCGCTCGGCTGGGACAGTTTCTCAAAGCCGAAGCCATGCCTCGGACCCCCCTTTTACGGCATGACTTCCTTCGGGGGGGGGAATATGATGAGGGTAGTAATTATGATAAGACTTGGCTGACATCAGATGACGCCACACGCAACAGCACCTGGTCAATGTAGACCGGAACGCCGACCGAGACGCATTAACATCCTGCCAAAGCTCAATTCTTCACGCCACGCCAACACAGTCAGACGCTACCAGCCTGCCACCTGCAAGCGGGCAGCTCAGGAAGTAGTATGCTTCCCTATAAATACCCTCTCGTTCATTAGAAAGAGGGGGGGAGACAGACACACAAAAATACTTCTTTATCTGAAACCCCCTCCACATCTGCTAACTTGATCGTCGGAGGGGTCGGGCCGAGCGCCTCAGCCCGACCTTTGTGCAAGTGCGAAGCCGAAGGTCCCCTCTAGACGCGCAGGCGAGGAGCTCCTGCCCGGAGGAGATGGCTACACCGTCCCGATCGAACACCGCACCCGACCGCCTCAGCGGGCTCGAGGAACGCCCCAGGGAGATCCCCGTCGTCCGGACCAAAACCGAGCCGCGTCGGCCCCGAGGCCACGGCTCAAAGTTGTTTCCCACAACACTCTTATGTATAGCTAGTAAATTGATCATGATTTGCTTGCACTCCATTGACCAAATTACTGGCCCACAGTTTTTTATAGAATTGTTCCCATGTCAAACATATTTAAAATGAGGTAGAACTGAGATTATTACTAGTGATTTGAATTTAAGTATTTTGGATAAGGAGTGAAGCTTATCAAATTGATGATTTAATCATATCGATCATAACGAATCTAATTCGAAAAACGCTACCTCATACGGTAGGTATGAGGTTGGAGGTATACAAAGACGACATGAAGATGATGTTAATGGAGCTTACTAGGTTTTGATTCTAAGTTATGACTCAAACTTTAATATAAATATAATATCTTAAATAAGAATTGTTATGATATCCTAATTTAGTTCAATATTAGATGTAAAAAGATAATGCTCCTATACAATCGTAACAAATGTATCAGAGCAAATACTATGTTGCATGATGGGAAATAAAAAAAATGACCTTCTATGAATGATGAAAAATCGTAACTAATGATATCTTTGAATCTTAAGTTTGAAAGATCATAAAGTATGATATGATAACGAGTCGTTTTAAGAACTAGAACAAGTTTACTGATAATAATTAAAGGTTGGATATTTTAAACTTAATAAGTTTGATATATTTTAGTTAAACATAAAATATAATAAAAAACCAAAGAAAAAACTACTGGTTTTAATTATTATTATTATTATATATATATATATTGATTGCAAATTTAATTATTATTTTGCATACTATGAGTGTCAAAAAGTCCAATTAACTTTCATGTCTTTCCTGTTTCATATTTGATGCAAAGTCTTCCTCGAGCTTCAAGACAACACACACAGCCTTCATTTAGCTGTTTGATGAGGAAGACCATATGGCATGCCCATCATGTTGGCATGAAGGCTAAATGGATAGAAATTGGTCAAGATTAATTAGGGGTCAATAAAACTTATATATTTACTAGGATGAACATATAGAGCACAATAATTTAATTATAGTTTTTCTTAACGTTGGCTGTATTGCAATTTGCCATATGAATCAATTTTGCGGCAGAAGACCTCTCTCCTATGTATAAAAAAAAAAAAAGCATAAATCTTTTGTTTATCCTTTCACATAAATTCTAGAAATTTTCTTTTCGATCTTTATAAAAATATTAATGAAATCCTAAAAGCATTTGAAGTATTTTCTTTCATGTTTCACTTTCGTTGAGATCTTAAAAAATATGTGATGTTTATAGAATAATCAACCTATAATTTTTTTAAAAAATTTTCATTCATAAACAAGTCTTTTCATACTTGGTTTCTTTATTTTTAAGGACATTAGATCAAGAAATCCAAAACTATTTGTGAACCATAACAATCACATCTCACACAAGTATATGAATAATATTGATTAGTTCATTGCTTTGCTCTTTTATGTTAGAGTGTAAGTAAATCAATCATATTCCATCACTTAAATCTGATAATAGCACATAAATCTTTTGTACATCCTTTTACATAAATTTTAATTTTTTTTATAAAAATATTAATAAAATCCTAGTGGCATTTGAAGTATTTTTCTTGTATGTTTCACTCTCCCAAAGATCTTGAAATACATGTGATATTTATAAAATAATCAAATTGTAATATTTAAATTATTTTCATACTTGGGTTCTTTATCTCTAAAGATATTGACTCCAAAAATCCAAAACTATTGGGGAACTATAACAATCAAAACTCACATAAGTAAATGAACAATGTTAATTACATATTTAGGTGTTCATTGCTTTGCTCTATATGTTTGAGTGTAAGTGAATCAATCATATTCCATCACTTATATCAAAAATCTTTTTTGAGTTATATACATACATGTGTGTGTGTGTGTTTGTTTGTTAAATATTTTTGAGTGAATCTTAATGATAAGTGAAGTTTGAACATAGTAATAAAATAATTTATGTCTTAAATTAGAAGGGGGAAATATGTATATCTACTAACCTCAAACTTAGAAGGAGAAAATGTGAAAATTACTATGGCAATAATTATATATAGATGCATATTTACCTCAAACTAACATCTTAATGTTAATTACTATGGCAAGAATTATATATAGATACATATCAAACGACCATGTTTCTTCACTTTTGTCAAGATCTTGAAATATATAATTTTTAAAAAAATTTCATTCATAAAGAAATCTTTTCATACTTGGATTTGGCTCAAGAAATCCAAAACTATTTGTGAACCATAGCAATCACAATTCACACAAGTAAATGAATACAATTAATTCCTTGGTTCGGTGTTCATTGTTTTGCTCTTTATGTTCATATTCCATTACTTGAAAAAAAATGATAATATCACATGAATCTTTTGTATATCATTTCACATAATTTTTTTTTATATTTATAAAAATATTAATAAAATCCTAAAAGCATTTGAAGTATTTTTCTTCTATGTTTTTTCACCCTTGTCAAGATATTGAAATACATATGATATTTATAGAATAATCAAATTATAATTATATTTTTTTTCATTCATAAACAAATCTTTTAGTACTTGGGTTCTTTATCTTTAAGAATATTGACTCCAGAAATCAAAACTGTTTAGCTGAACCATAACAATCAAAACTCACATAAGTAAATGAACAATGGTCATTACTTGTTTAGGTGTTTGTGCTCTTTATGTTAAGAGTGTAAATGAATCAATCATATTCCATCACTTATTTCCAAAATCTTATTTGAGTTATATATATATATATTATATTATATATATTGTTCTTCTTTGTTATGAGAAAATAAACATGGGAACTTAATTACCTGATTATTAATATCTTTTAGTCTCAATAAGTATATATGATAATTTATTGTCGGTTCGTTGAAAGGGAA